TCCGACTAAACCTTTACAAAAATTCAATGTATGTCAAAGGCCCTAAAATCTGGAATACCCTACCTGAGAACTCTAGAACTGCAGACACATTCATCACCTTCAAAACTACCATTAGAAAACATCTTATCTCCCTGATACACACCGTCAACTAACTACACGAATACCACCTGGTGGTTCACACTTACACTCGCTCACTCATTTGACCATAAACAGAAATATTAATCTCAGTCTTAAAATAATGAATCCTGTGATACTCCAATACTGAAACTATATACTGTGCCAAAACAAAAGCATTCACATTGCTAAACTCATAAACTAGTATTTAGTCACTTAGCCATAATACCAACTTACCTCATAATTTGTAATATTTTACAATTAAGAATAAAACTAAGTATGCCCGAAATGCCTAGCCATGCTAAGCGTTCTAGTGGTACACTCTGTAATCACAATTTTACTACATGTAAACCAAACAATAACCAAATTTCTGTAAACTCAGCATTGTAATCCTTATAGAGAATAAACTTTTGAATTTTGAATTTTGAACATACATGCGCACACATCTGTGTGTGTGGTGACATTCAGCTACCTGGTGCATGAGAAACTGTAGGAGAAACCGAGATATTGAAGAACCGAAGTGACTGATGTACAAGAAAGTGATTACGATAGGATGAAGTATCTTGTGGCTCAAAAGTAACGAGAAAACGAGTTCGAGCGACGGTCAACCCAGGAAATTACTGTAATTTTAAACTAGAAGTGCAAGGAATTGACAGAAATTTATAACAATCTGGATAAGCAAAGATACTGGAAGAACCCATGGTTTAATCATCATGTTAAGGATACTAAATCTAATAACACTAAAGCATGGAAAATACGCAGAGTGACCCTAAACCAAGAGAGCAAAGAAGCTAGTAAGAGAGATGGAAATTCCTACATTCAGGTGAAAACTGTAGTCATACAACAACTTGAAAGTGATACAGTGGCCAAGACCATGGCAGAACAAAAGATGCCTTACAGCTACATTAGAAGAAAAAATGACAATAAAGGCTCAAGTGATAATATTGATGAACTAGGAAGGTACACTAAAGAAAATGATAATCATAGTGTTTCATAAATGAGCACGAACCATTACCAGAGAGGGAAGAAGATAAAGCTAATAGAACTATCAAGCACTGAAAATATGAATGAGGAAGTGACGGGACTTCTGGTAAAATTTATTACAGCAAAGGCATCATTACCAGATGGAATATCAAGAATATTAAGAGTCGAAAAAATATTCAAGCTACCCGCTCTGACCTTTAACACATCACTAGAGACTGGCGAGGTGACAGATAAGCAGAAGTTAGCAAATGTTTTGGACGTGTCACAGGAAGAAGTATTAACCTACAACAAGTACCCATTATGGGTATACTATACGAATGACTGGAAAATGTATCGTTACGTAAAGACTTTCTGAATAACTAGTGTGTGTTGGAATCCTCGCAGACCATCAGTAATGATCCAGAAATCAAGTTACTAACCAAGAAACATATGATCGACTAACATAGATCAGGTAGGAAAGAGAAGGATGCGTGGACTGCATATTCCTAGGAAGTATCATTATGGACAGAAGCAACCTGAACACTGGAAAGTAGACTCACGAAAAGAAATGCAACATCAGGCTGGGAAATCTAACTACAATTGTTCCACAAAGATCAGTGATGAGTCCTTTACTAATGCTGATAATACATAAATGACCTGGTTACAGGAGTTAACCCTCATAAATCCTTATTTGCAGAAGACGTCAAAGAAATGAGACTGCAAACTAAAGAGAATAAAAGAAGCCTACAAAAAAACTTGAACAGACTTATCGAAACTAACCTTTTCAAAAGTAATGATTTGAAGCTGGTAGATGGGGAAAGGAGAATAAAAACAGGAGAATTATCTAGGAATAATAAAGAACTCACAGAAACAGAAAAACACTTGCGTATAACCATCACTCCAAATCTGTTTCCCGAGGCACATAACATCTGCAGCACGGACAAAGCTTGCAAACATATGAGAATTTTTCAGGAACCTTGACAAAGACTTAAAATCCTTTGTAAAACATACATGCGACCCATTCTTGAATATATAATACTGATACGAAACCAACACCAAGTAAAACACAAAGTAAATCATGAGAGAGCACACAATAGAGCACACAAGACCAATGCAGGAGCTACGAAGAATATGGGAAATGCCTTAATTCATCGAAGTGAAGAACCACCTTATAAAAGATAAAGATTTTTATATTTTACCAGCAGAGAGTAGAAAGAATAAGATCCTACAGTGGGATACAACACGAACATACTGGAATTATATAAGAGGTCAACAGATTTCCTTAATATAAATGCTGTTTTTATTCATTAACATATAAATGAAGAGACAAGAATAAGAAAACAACACAGTATTAGATTATTTACTCTGACATTGGAAAAAAAATTCAACATGAATTATGTAAACCTGCTTGGGAAGAGTGATCATGTTATACTGGAAATAACATATGTAGCTGAAATATGATTTAGGAGTTGAGAAGACATAAACAGGAAAGACTAGATTCTAAGAGCGGGAATTAAAATGCTTTAAAACAGTATTTTAGAGAAATTAAATGAAGAAACATACAGAGAGTTCTGCAACACATTCCATATGAAAATGTAATTAAACAGTTTATTTGAAAAAGGGATACTAGAAGTATTTCATAGAAGGTATTTGAGAGCAATGAAAAACAGGAACTTAGAATCATTATTAGAAGCGGACCACTCAAGAAACTCATCAGAGATTCAAGGATGCCAGAAATAAATATACAGAGGAAGAAAGAGGATTTGAAAATAAAATAACAGACATGAGCAACGTAGAATAAAACCTTTTAAGTTTGCAAAACGTAAACTAAAAGACAAAATACATAAAATAAATAACGAAGCAAAAATCACTGAAGAAGAAGAGGAAATGTGTAAAGTATTAAATAGTTTTGAGAGTTAAAAAAACTATCGTGATAGAGGTTTTAATTAATTGTAGAGAGTTGAATTAGAGGATATTGAAACAACTTAGGAGTTAAATTAATTATAAGATGCTGATGAGAAAAAAGCGGTAAGACCTGAGAGGATATAATAATGTATAGAAGAATATGTTAAGTAAAAGGACACAAGTGCAACTAATGTGACATTTATTGTGGCAACGTTTTCGCTCTCCAGGAGCTTTATCAAGCCATTGGCTTGATAAAGCTCCTGGAGAGCGAAACGTTGCCACAATAAATGTCACATTAGTTGCACTTGTGTCCTTTTACTTTACATATTGTCGGTAATTCTACCAACTTTATTACAAGAATCATGTTATCTACTGTTAAAAACTGTTCTCACAGGAAGATAAACTAGCAATAAACACCTAAATTAGGAATGTATTAAATATTCAAAATCATAGGTGCTATTTGAAAATCTTTAAAACTTCTAGCAAAAAAAAAAATTTGCAAATTCCTCTAAAAACTGATGGACATATGTGTAGTGTTGAGGTGTTAACACGCTACCAAGAACGGTGATGTTGAAATGTCAACGTTAATTTTGTGGTATATTCTCTTCCGCAGTATTTTTGGCTAGTCCCCCGTGTTCTGGTTCAAGTCGGACCGAAACGTCGTTGTAAGCTCGTCTCTCCTATGTACGGATTGTGTGTATCGTTCCTGTCACGGTATTGTTCCTTTTTATATTTTATAGTCTACCATTTATGTATAGTTGCTTATAATGTTTTTGATGTTAGTTTAAGTGACTACATCTGATTACCCAACCATAAACTAACCTACGCTATAACAGCGTACATACAGCAATCAAATTAAGTATAGTATAAAATTAGTGTTAGAGTTATGAAGGCAGGTAAGCGGCTCGCGTGAGTAACTCGTTCCCTCTAAGTGCTTTAATTACCTGAGCAGGTGTGCTCATCAACAGTCAACGCAAGTAACTCATTTTTCCGCGACTTTTCCATTAACGAACACATGCGACTGACAGCATCTTGCAAACTTCTTCCTTAACTAATTTATACGTCCCGAGGAAGTTATTTATATATATTTTTTTATCACAGTATTCGTTCCAGTGAAACACTGATGAAGTGATAGTTACATCAGGTTATTACAACTGATGTGAAGCTGTCACTGCTATACAAACTTAATTCAGATGTGTTAAAAAGAACTCAACACCTAAATATGCAAGTTGGAAGAAAATATATAAAAAAAACCTGAAGAGAAACAATGACGCAACGTTTCGCTTGAAGACTCGTTTTTTTTTTTTTTACCACCAGCTGCTCTCCCGACTGTATATAATACTGTAGACGTCCACAGGATGGGTATGGGAAGCATAATAAAGATGTTAAATCTAAACTTAACTTACCATGTCATAATAAAGATGTTAAACCTAAACTTAACTTACCATGTCATAATAAAGATGTTAAACAAATTAATTACCATGTATAATAAAGATGTTAAACCTAAACTTAACTTACCATGTCATAATAAAGATGTTAAACCTAAACTTAACTTACCATGTCATAATAAAGATGTTAAACCTAAACTTAACTTACCATGTCATAATAAAGATGTTAAACCTAAAAATTAACTTCCATGTCATAATAAAGTGTTAAACCTAAACTTAACTTACCTGTCATAATAAGATGTAAACCTAAACTTATTACCATGTATAATAAAGATGTTAAACCTAAACTTAACTTACCATGTCATAATAAAGATGTTTAACCTAACTTAACTTACCATGTCATATAAGATGTTAAACTAACTAACTTACCATGTCATAATAAAGATGTTAAACCTAAACTTAACTTACCATGTCATAATAAAGATGTTAAACCTAAACTTAACTTATCATGTACTATGTTCAGATGTGAGAAAGCTCCGTCTCCAAGCGTAACATTTTCTTAAAGATTTTTATTCTACTATTGCGTCTTTGACATTAGCTTGGTAGTTTTACGACGTCTTCCCATGAATATATTACTATCATAGGCAGACAAGCACTTAATCACCTGGATGGTAGTATGGAGTACGCAACTGTCGTGGCACCTACCTTCTCGACGTGTTCAGCCAGCAGTACATAACGAAGATCAGGAGACACACTGAAGTGTGCCACGTTCAGCTGCCGCTGTGGAAAAGATATCTGAGTTTACCTGAAGTGTAAGGATGCCTGTTCTACGTGAGAGCTACACTAGTTTAATTTTTTGTAGCCCAAACTGCTAGTTTATTGGGTTAGGTCATATCTATACTGTGGACGATGGCACAAAAGAATAAAACTACACAAAAAATCGCAGCAATTATACCTTAAAAGAGCTAACAGGAATTCCAGCAAGTATACGAGTTTATTATTTACGATTTGTCATCATTGATCTGTTAAAAGTAAATCTGATACTTGCTCAGAATTTATGACATTTTATTTTAACTTTTAAGATACCTTCACATAAAGGTTAGTGTTCTCCATATATGCCTCAATAACTGAGAGTTACATTATGGAAAAAAAAACCAAGCTCTTTCTCCTCTGACAAGACCAAGAGATGACTCAGCGGTCCTTGTGTGTAGCAAACACAGGTGTCGGAAGAGAGAGAAGTCGGGGAAGCTTGTATATGTACGTGAAGTTGTGAATGTTACGAAGAGTTGTATGGGTGGACAAACATGTGTGTAAAGTTGCGAAGGTTATACAGTTCTTCCTGTACATTTATACTGGAACAATTATTCAAGATATATGCAGACATGTATAGTGAAACAACTATTGGTGAAGATACACAAAACACACACACACACACACACACACACACACACACTATATATAACTATAATATATATATATATATATATATATATATAATATATATATATATATATTATATATATATATGGAACAACTGTGAAGATACACGAGTACACATCAGTAAACAGTTGCCATAACAGGTTGGCAAAATACGGCGACGACCGCATCCGGTCAGCCACCAGCAATTTTAGAGAATTGTCTTCAATTTAATTAAGAATTTATTTTGATTTATGTGGTATTTAGGAGAGGATGCTGGGCAATCACAGCAGCAAGACCTAACAACGTTTAACACAATAAAGCCTTTCAGATTAGGCGTGTATTTCATCTTGTCCCTCGGCTAAATAATAAGAATTGGCTCTGATTTTGTGTGTTGTTGGTATGATGAGGAACGTGAACGAATTCTTTTCACACCTGCAGTAAAAAGGACTCGTTCCACCAGCTATATTACAATGACAAAATTGTATTAATGTTGGTAGAATTACCGACATTATGTTAGGTAAAAGGACACAAGTGCAACTAATGTGATATTTTATTGCAGCAACGTTTCGCTCTCCAGGAGCTTTAAGAAGCCGTTACGGCTTGATAAAGCTCCTAGAGAGCGAAACGTTGCCACAATAAAATGATACATTAGTTGCACTTGTGTCCTTTTACCAAACATAATGACAAAATTACTTTTCTGTCTCGTCAGGTAGAAAAACAAGCGTTTTGATCGCTTTTCTGCCTCGTCAGATAGACGGCAAGAATTTAGATCTCTTTTCAGACTTTCTGAAGTTAACAAGAAGCCTGACAATTATTCTTTATTGCTACTTGATTTTCAAAATTTACTCGACGATTCCAAGACTTCATAATGATCGCAATACTAACATGTCCATAGTCGCCTCCCTTGTCTCAGTTGACGCTGATAAAGTTCTAATTGACTTTCAACTCGAACAGTGATCCATTTCTTTTTGAGCAATTCAGGCCACTACCATTTCCCAGTTTGCGTGCATTTCTAAACTTAAAAGCTCCAAATATTTCAAATGTATGAGTCAGCATACATATGTGAGCAAACGTTTTCTGTGATGAAACTAAACAGATCAAAACTAACATCTACAATGACCGATGACCACCTTGTAGCAGCACTGTAACAACAGACACAACAGACGTAAACAGTTTGCTTAACGCACATCAACGCTCTCATTCTTCCTACTGAAAGAGATTTTCACATTTTCTTTATCATTTTTGATATACAAATAGAAAACACAAGTCTGAAGTATTTGTAAACACTAAAATTTTTACATCGACGAAAGTAAGTGGCTAGCGACGTTTATTTAAGTTGATGTGGCCTGCCAGTCAAAGCAACTACCCACCCCAACGCTGTATGAGGATTTATTGAGGAGGGAGACATACAGACAGTTGCAACAACATTAGCGCATATATCTATTATGAACATGACAAAATATGGATAACTAATGCGTACTGAACACTTGCCATTGCTTAATAATAATTGATCCCCTTCTGGGATCCTCTTCACTGTTTGTCTCCACACGTCGGACATTATATATATATATTATATAATATATATATATATATATATATATATATATATATATATATATATATATATATATATATAAAGAGAGAGAGAGAGAGAGAGGAGAGAGAGAGAGATAAAGAGAGAAGGAGAGAGTTACTTACAAAGGTAATATTGGAGACTAGGACTCGGGAAGTGAGAGCCTCAGCGTCGAAGATAGAGAGGCCGCCAGCAGGATCCTTATACACCAGCTCGTTGTCTGCAATACAGAGAAAAACTATCAAAAGCCATGAATGGTCTTGTCTGGAGAATGTTAATGTAAAAATTAATAATTTTGCATCAAACGAACCTTAGAAAACTTACCTAACCTTATTATAACAAGCGCAATTTAATTTAGCCTAATCCAGCTATGTATATTTTAAATGAGTTTACAGTAATTTAATAATAAACAAACACAATGAAATATATTTTTTCCGTTAGGTTCAGAATGATTTTTGCGAAATTGTTACATACACAAATTTTCGCTTGCACTATTCGGCAAAAAGAGCATTGCTATTTAAGCTAAAATAGCAAGTTTTACCTATTCGGCACGACAATTACATTATATATATATATATATATATATATATATATATATATATATATATATAATATATATATATATATATATATATATATATATGGTTAAACCATTTATCGGGGAGATTGCAGAGACACTGCTTTCAAAGATCACAAGGTTCGTCAACAATTCCTTGGCTAGTCTGATTCCTGTCGAAATTAGACCTTTCTTTTTTGGCGCATCACTTTGTGCCCTTAAAATGGATGGAGGAATTAGGCTAATTGCAGTGAGCAACACTTTTTGCAGCCTCGTTTTCAAACATACTGTCCGAAGTATTCGCGCAGAGGCGGCCAAACACGTAACAATATGCCCTAGACATGTATCTCTCACATCTCATGTACTGTATATGCCATCTTTATATCAACAATGTATCTCTTAAGTCTTTTGTACAATATTATGTAATAAAATATACCCACTGGTAAAAAAGAATGAAAAGATGGGGTGGTAGGGGAAGTGGAATATTCAAATGACTTCAGGAGGAAATCCAGTATTCTTCCTTGAAGCCTTTTTATCCATTTCTCCTAGGCTGTGGGTCCCACAATTTGCATCAGAGGTGGACTTAATCATATATATATATATATATATATATATATATATATATATATATATATATATATATATATATATATATATATATATATATATATATAAACATTTAGATGCATACAATTTTCTCCTCAGTGTGTTTGTCTCTTCTTTCTGTAATGTTTACTCTCTGAAACTGAAGATTCATCACCTTGTCACTAACACAGAAATCGTTGTCACAATTTACAACCGCCTCAATTTAGGTTTGCAAAACTGGCTGTATAAAGTAAACTTCGTTGATGAGCGTTCTAATGTGTGCATGCATCTGAAGCCATGGATAACTTCGTCCAATATTTGACACGACTACCTCTTAATAAGATAAGTCCTGATCATTACCACTTTCCAGGGCGTCTGCTTAGAAAGTCTCCTCCCCCCCCCATGAGTTTCTAAGATAAGATAAGAAAAAGTGTACATAATGTTTAAAATAAGGAGCACAACAAGACGTGGCTGCTAGGTAGCTCGTAAATCTCGAAATTATATGTGTTAAAAATAAAGCTCACATATATTTGATTTAACTTTAGTAAAGTATTTAGCGAAGAATATAAATAAAACCTTTGACTCTCAATAACATTCGTACTACACCTTCCTTCCCATGTTACACTGTATGTCAGTGTGAGCAACGTTTCTTAACACCGAACAGCTGGAAGCCTTGAATCCATTAGGAATGTATCTTTCTTTTAGTTTAATTTTTTTCAATATGAGATCAAAAATGTACCCACTCCTGATGCTCTTAAGACAAGTCTTTAACTCTAGTGAAGTGGGTTATCTCTAGCTTCAGCAATGTTAATGTTCGCTTTTTTCTACCAGAAAAAAAACTGTCCTCGCCAAGTTTCCTAATATTTGTACATATACAGCAGATATGACTCTGACTTTTAAAAAATAAATGACTAACAAAACGTCAATAATGTTCCTTGGACAGAAGAACTTATCTCACACAGGTGCATATTAACTCATATAACAGTTTAGCGAACAATGATCCTGATAAACATTGTTTGTCAAACCTTTGACAATAAAATTCACACTGGATGTAATCCTCATAGCCATTAAGGAAAAGATACTAGTCCAGAAAGCATGGAACTCATAAAAAGAAGGATACAAATTTACCGTTAGAGATACAAGAAATTAGGAATGATATTTCCTTAGAGTTTTCTTACTATACAAAGTGCAGGTTCTGCTCCAAGATGAAGAAGATCGACGTCCTGCGCTGGAAAATTCACGACAATTCTCGACCTTCCCGCTCCAGCTTAGTGACTCGGTAGACCTCACTGAACTATGTGTATAGGCTTTAAATTTAATTTAAAAATTATCTTTTTAAATAGGTTTTCACTTACTCATGGGTTTCCCCACTAAGTGATGTGCTGTCGAACCTATACATGGAACGTCTTAAAACTGAGCGACTTTCTTCCATTATTCCCTCCTAGATCACGAGGCTCGCATATGGTTTACCTGGAGTTTACCTGGAGAGAGTTCCGGGGGTCAACGCCCCCGCGGCCCGGGACGTCATTATCATAACTACTACAAGGTTTGACATCCCTTCACTCCAGCACAAGCTCAACCAGGCTGAGACTCCCATTCAATAAACACTCGAAAAGTAAATCAACGGCCCCCTCCCATTCCTCGATGTTCTCTGTAAATTTGGCGATGAACCACATTTCATAATCTACCATCAACCTACCAACAACACAGCTTCACTTAAGTTCTCACCTTGACACCAAAAATAAACGTTGTGTCATAACTGGCTTCTTTCTATGTACTCCCCGTATCTGAACTGGTTAATTAAGAAGAATGCTTTTTCTTCGAACAAGCCTTTTGTATTCTTTACTTCCCTCAACACTTCATCAGGGACTGCAGACGCCGTGCACATAATATAATTAACTAGCAAAGGCAAATTAATTTCCCTATTTTTTTTTGTCTCTAACAATTTATTTTCGCTCTACTTCAGTCTTCAGTTTTTTTCCGTTCCCATTTTACCAACCATTAATAACAACTATGAATGTCTTCTCTCTCATCCTGGGTATTAGTTCAATCTTTCTCCCAATCCGCATTCTTAAAATCAATGGGTTTACACAGACTTCCCTAACAACTCTCTTGTCAAGTATCACAAATACTCTCTCTCCAACACCAAACTGTAAGCAGCCACCACGGGTTCCACCCTCATCATGGACATCACTAGTAAGAGATGACACCAACAAAACGCAGCTAGTGCAGGAGTAGACACAATCCCTTCGCACGACTGTGGCAAAATATCTGTGGGTGAAACTAACCACAGAAACTATTGTGAAGATATCATCAGGGTTTCCAAAGATGCTCAGAAGTGTAACTCGACGTCCTCAAGAGGCCCAGAAGCTGGAACTCAACCCTGCTAATCACCACTAATATTTTAGACTAATTAAACCATTATGAAAATATACTCAGTCTCTATAAGGCTCAGGAGCCGGAACTCACCAAGTCAACAACCAAAATTTTTTAAACAATCAGACGAAGATGAAGTTTACCATGAAGATGGCAGCAAGAATATCCAACTGGCCCAGGAGATGTAGCTCAACATCAAAAGACTCTCGAGCAGGAATTATTTTTTTTCCAATCGCGATTAATATTTGAGAAGCAGACAAAATATAGTGAAGATATTTATGACAATGTTTCACCAAAGATATGATCTTTCAGCAGGGCGGCTCACACAACCTGGCCACGCTCCAATCTCGAATACAAGATGCTGCCAGATAAGCAGAGAAAGGTAAGGATTAACTACTGAGAGAGTCTCGCTGTCATACACAGAAACCAACTGACCAACCTTTCTGAATCTTCCGACAGTACTTTTCAAAGGCCAGAGAATCTGCTAAAGTATAGCAGTTCAAAATTATATTGCAGTTTGAATGAAGTTTAAATTTCTGAAACTGCTGTGGCGTGCAACCTAAAGATCTGAAGAACTAGAAGAAATATAGTAAAAAACAATATGTACTGGAAAATTTGTGAAGTGGCATATTTATGTTCTGCAGGTTTGTGTTTAGACAGAGTGTATTAGAAGTGTTGAGAGTCAGCTCCTGGCCCCGCTGCAAATTTTAGTATTGACAGCCTGGTTGAATTTCAGCTTTCCGTGCTCTTTCAGTGTGATTTAGTTTTTTATATGATCATAAAACTAATGATTTAATTATCTAATACACACTGATTCTTTGTTTTCAGCTTCCACCCACGTTTCCTTGTCCAATTTCGCATATCCATATTCCTATGTCCATGGTCCCTTGACAATATTCTTATGTCCATGATCCCATGTCCATGTCCCTTTATATATGTTCATCTCTCCATGTTCCTTTGTCCATAATCCATTGGACATGTTCCTTTGTCTAAAGGACCCCAATGGAAATAAGTCACTCTGTCTGACTTTTTTGGGTTATCCTAGGTTCTCTACACACATGCTGCTATGTATGATAATCTATGTAACTGTATTTGTGTATACCTGAATAAACTTACTATGTTCCTGTCTGCATGTTCCCCTCACTTCAGTCAGTCTCTCCCTAGCCTTCCCATCAATGCCTTACGTATTTCATATTTCGTGTTTATGTTTCTTTTAGTGTTAGATATAATTACTTTAACCTCATGTTACATACTTTTAATATGAACGGGAACATCTGCACGTTCTCATGTTTATTTGGATTTCAGTAAGGTTTTTCATAGAGTACCACACTAGAGACTGTTAAAGAAAGTGGCAGCTCATGGCATTGAGGGGAAAGTACTGTCATAGATCGAGTCATGGCTCACCAACAGGAAGCAGAGTCTGCATAAATGCTGTTAAATCTGAGTAGGGATCTGTAACAAGTGGCATTCCACGGGGATCAGTTGTAAGCCCACTGTTGTTTATAATATATATCAGTGACCTTGACGAGGGAATTACTAGTGATATGAGCAAATTCGCTGATGACACGAAGATAGGATAATTGATTCAGACGTAGATGTTACTAAACTTCAGGAGGATTTAGATAAACTTAATTTGTGGTCATAAAAGTGGCAGGTGTAGTTCAATGTTGATAAATGCAAAGTTCTGAAGCTCGGGAATGTCT